TGTCTGATGATGAGTTAAGCTCTTCCACAAGCTCTACAGATAAGTCTGATGGAGATTCCAGGGAGAAGTAGGTATTTTGTTCAATACCGTGCAAGAGTTTTCACTGCTGTATTGGACCTAGACTTGGAGTGGGGGGAAAAAAAATGGCAGGAATTGCTTTCACAGTTTATCTCCACATAGTGAGTTATTGAAGTATGTGATGCATAAAGAAAACAAACTCCATTTAATTGTTGTCTCTCTGCGACTATAAACTTTCCGTGCTGAACTTTCTGGGACATGTGATTGCGGACTGTTTTTTGTCAACTGTAGCTTCCCAGAAAACCAGTGTTCCAGCATCAAAGGACATATACTGTCAGGATGCATTAAAAGCATGAGTTCAAAGGTGCCTATGTGTTTCCTTTCTGCTGCGAATGAGGATGTATTTATTTCTGATTTTGTCAGTGTAAGCAGCTTTTCAAAAAATATTCTTTGTTGCATTACCACAGGTACAGCTACACAGGTAGCAGTAGCCAATAGTATTGTGAATTGTTGCTACGTGAACAGGCTCTGAGCCTTTTTTAGATGAAATTCTGCTAATGTTGCTATTGATAAAACTGCACCACAAGAAGTAATTTGACATGCAATACTTAGCAGGACCTGATTAACTTACTGAAAGTCCTCTGACTGCAAGGTGGAAGTTGCATTGTGAATGGTGACTGAATTACATCTTATTTCTCCTCTACTAGAAAAAGCAATATGAATGAAATGAATGACTTGGTGCAGCTAATGACACAGACACTGAAAATGGACTCTAAGGAGAACTCTGAATACTGTGTAACCTCGACTCCAGCCCCAGAGTTTAAACTTCATAGAAAATATCGAGACACTTTGATTTTGCATGGAAAATCACCTGATGAATTGGAGGAATTAAAATTTGGAGAGGTTCCTTCAGGTCTGTCACTCTGTTATTGCTTTAAATGAATGGTTGTCAACTGCTAATAACGAAAGAAAACCTGCTAGTGGACAAGAGAAGACAATCCACTCTTACTTCCTCTCAAGTTTCAACAATACTTATAGAAGTAAACATCTTTATAAATAATTTTAGAGCAAAACTGCTCTAGTTGTGGTTTACTTGGCAATGAAAGGAATGTGTGATCAATCTGTGTAATTATTAATGGAGAAAGCTGGTCTGCAATATGATTTTTTTCCCCATGTGACTTGAAAGCTTCCAAAATGAACAGTTGGAGTTGAGTATTTTGAAGTAAGATTTTATAGCTGTGAAGCTTTGTGAATTACGGATAAAGCTGAAATTGTACACAAAGCATTAAATGCCGTGGAGGGTTGTACAAGTATAGAAGATCATCCTCATTGCAGAATTTGGGCAAGCTTATTTTTCCTACAGATACAGGTGCAAGAATCAAATCACTTTTCATATTTAAGGTATGGTTTAGACCTTAAGTATGTATGTTTATTCCAAAAAGTAAGAAAAAATTATATTTACTATGACTGCACTTACTGTGCAACAAGAACAAGTGAAAAAGCTGAGGGCAGGATTCTGAAGTCTCAGACCTTCTTGTGCTTATGGTTTTAAATGGTAAAGGACTGTAACTAGCCTGGTGACAGGCAAAGCAATGGGACAACACTGGATTTTACTCTGGTAAGTTGATTCTGCATAGCTAAAATAAAATACACTGAAAGAGTTTGTCTCTAAACAGGTATGATGGAATGTTGAAGGTACAAATTTCAGTGGGTTTTTTTTTCTGTCCATTTTTCTCACTCTTAAGAATGTTTATGTGCTACCATTTGGGATGACAGGGCTACTGCATTTCTAAGCTGAAACTTATTTCAATTAGATCAGATGTTTTATTTTCAGAAGGTGATCCATCCTGTGAAAGGAGTGTTGGTGATTTCAGTGATGAAAAGAGCAAACTAGTGCTCTCAGTTCAGTTCCTAATGGAGGCCTCCCCTTAGAAAATGACTATTTCTTGTTGGCAGCTTCAGCCAAGGAGCAAAAGCTTGAAAGGCTGCTGAGACAAAAAGGCAGATTGCAAAAATTATTCCATTAGTGTTTTACAGTGATGAAACTTTTTGTTACATTTGCTGTAAGCACGAGTGATTGAATTATTAAAATATGTGGGTGGTAGTGTAGTATTAGAGAATAGTACTTTTTGTTCAAATAGTATTTGTAATATAGTATACAGGAACCACCTGAAATGAAGTTACAGGGACCTAATTGAGCAAACTGTGTCTGCACTGACTTTGTACTAGTGTCATAAGAGTTAGTGTCTGAGGGCTTCTAATTCACTGTGCTTGTTGATCATTCTAGCTAGCCAGTTCAGATAAACAGTTACTTCATGCAAATGATCAGCTGCAATTCTTTGGCAACACTTACAATGTTGTCCCATGTTGTTCTTCTGCATAGAGTATGAAAATTCACTATACTGAAAGTAATTGTTACTGCATTGATACATATTTTATTATTTTTTTTTATAGATAGGTTATCAGTTCCTGACAAGATTAGGAGAATGGTTGAAATCCTGAGATCTGATGTGATCCAAGGATTGGGAGTGAAACTTCTTGAGAAGGTGTACAGCATCATGGAAGAAGATGATGAAGTGAAAAGAGAGGTGAATGTCTTTCATAGTAATTTGTTTAATTTCTTTGTAAACCTAGATAAATGAGCAAGGTCTTTACTTCCCCACCCTTTTTAGATATTGATAGAGTAGTGGAAACCTTGATTTCAAGAAGTGTTTTTCTGTAGTCATTGGCAGGCAAGGGCCTGAGTATATTGTCATTTTCAGTCTTAAAAAGTTTGATTCTGAATGTGTACTGTGTTCAATCACAAATTCCTCAGAAAGCATAGGAGCTCTAGAATTGTACCATGGTCCCTGAGTTAGTGGAAGGTGCCATGGATGACAGTAATTTTACTCTGTAGTATTTCTCCAGTAATAATTTCTTTTGATACATAATTTTTTGCCTTCACATTACTTAGTCCAATGCCCCTTATGTCCAATGTGAGAAACAATTTAATGTCTGTTCCTAATAGAGGTGAGTGAGCAATACCGCCAGCTCATTTGATTCAAAACTTGGTTACAAATAAAATGCTGTGTAGGTAAGTATAACCTGTGAAGATCTGATTTATATTTTAAAATGTCGGGTGGGATTTGGAACTCTCTTCCCCTCAGACTCTTCCATTATTATTCCCTCCCATCTAACTTCATATGCTGCTTTCAGTTGAGTGCTTTGGTTTTTTGGGTTTTTTTTGCTAATATTTTGTTAGTTCCTGCTTTTTTCAATGTCAATAAACTTTGTGGGGTTTTCTTGTGTGTTCTAAATAGCTGCAGTTGCGGGACCATATGGGAGACAAGTATGCAAGTTACAGTGCGAAGGCACGCCATCTGAAATTTCTTGAAGAAAATGTGAAGTTCTGACCAGAACTTTTTCCTTAGAGAAAAGGACTGTTTTATAGCTCATTTGATAAATTGGACCAGCTTCCAAAGCACATTTATCCATTGACCTCTTTTGCTGGAGTAAGGAGGTGAACTTGCAAAAAACGTTACAGTTCATAGTAATATTTTTCATGTTAAAATGTGAACCAGGCTATCACTTTCTCAGAAGAGAAACTGTTTAGTTTAGTTTTTATTCTCTTAATGAAACTTTTTAAAGTTGCCTTTTATAGATGCAGAGAGGGATGAATACCAAGTTTTGTATACAAAGGAATGTAAAAAAAAAAGTTTTGATTTTGGATTTGTCATAGCAAAAGGTTTTTTTGTATGGTCATACACTAAATACAGTAACAAAATCTATGCCAAGGCTATGGTGTGATAGGTTATAAGCTATTACATCAAATAGTTGTAAAAAATGTAGCAGGCAGAAACAATTACTGATTTTTGTAGCACCAGAGGCCCTCCAGGTTGTGTAAATTGCCAAGTTGAAGTGCTAAAGGGGGTGGCTGTACTGTTTTTAAGCAGAACCTTTGCCTTTGTCTTATTGCTAAGGCAATCACCAAGGTGGTAGAAAGTATTTGGTAACTGGATAAAGTAAGTCTGAAAATGTCTGAAAGCAACACAGCCATGGTTACCATGGTCCCAGCTGGAGAAATCCCTTTGCCTTACAAATACTAATTCCTGTTAGGAATGAAAGTGCCCAAGACCAGGGTAACGTAGAGAAATAGGCATCTCAGCTTTTCCCTTTCTTTGCATCTAGATTGTGTTGTTACACATGTCCAGGCATTGTCATGTACCATCACTACAGAAAAAGCATCTGGTTTTTTTTTTTTTTTTTCCCAAAGGATAAAGTTGTCAAAAGGGAATAAAATTTTAATTGCATAACCTGTCTCTTCCCCTGCCTGTAGCTTAAATATTGTAACCTCCAGCACCTATGAGGGAGACAAACATGGCAGTAGTAAAAAAAGTGTAATATCTCTGGATCCTGCTGTCCCTCACATACTGGATGCTCAAGTTAGAAGGTTTCAAGAGCTACTGTATTATGCAGAGTCAAGATGTTACTTTCTCTACCCAAGGAAATTTGTTTTAAACAAAAAATGCCACTCTGCAATCTCCTATCCTAGAACACTTTCCAAGTCTTAGCATTTTTCAGAACTGTGGGGTATGTACTGTTTTACAGTATTTGTTACAACCTGACACTACTGATAGCTTGTTTTACACACTGTTAGAAATATTTTAGTAGAAGTCCAGCTGTGTGTTACTTTTTAGGCTACAGCAACAGCCTAACTAGACTTGATTTGATTTGCTGCGTTCCTTTGTACTAAAATACTTGAGATGTGACCTCCAGTAGCCTTCTAAAGAAGTGAATCCCCGCACACCTGCCTTCCCAGCAACTTCATTGAAACTCTAGCCAAAATTCAGATCACCTTTATGCTCTCTGTAGATCTTGGTGTACTCATGGTAGTATACAAAGTAGTAAGAAAAAAAAAAAAAACCACTAAGCCAAGAAGTATCTCCCAGTGGAAATGCATTTAACAAACTTTAACAGAGTAACAGCATGAAGAACTGCATTTTTTAGCTTTTAGCATGTCTCTTTGGCTTTCTGTCTGCTGGCTTCTTTTCTTCTGTTCCCGACTCTTGGACAGGCAACCACCTCAGAGGATTGCGGCGGTACATAGGCCATGGAGGGAGCGTTAGCTTAGAGAAAAGGAATGAAGTCAGAACATATAAATCAAGATGCGAGATAAGTGTTTTGTACAGCTTGCTAGGAAAATCTCATTCCCTAACTATTGTACCAGTTAGTCTTAAGAAAGTTCATACAATTTCATACTGTAAAGATATATATATATTTGTAGTCCATATTGTATACTGCATAGTCATGACTAAAGGACCCCAGCTCATTGCAAGGAGGATGACGACAGCACCCACCCTGAAGAAAAAAGGATAGCCCTGGACTACTAGCGCCAGCACCCCAGCCCCTCTGACACCTCTGTGAAACCCTCCTGCTCTCTGGCATCCCAGATAAGTACCTGTAGCAAGACCGACTCCAGGGACGTTTAGCTCAAGAAAGCAGCAGATGGATGGATGATCATGCCATAGAATGATAGTGGCTTTTCAAAACAGTAGTATGTGTGCATTAAGTAGTGATTGGTCAAATCATGTTGTAGCTGAACGCTTGAAAGGTATAAGAACCATGTGTAAAACTGCATTCGGTGTGCCCCGATTGGAACGGGACACCTCGTGTGTGTGAATAAAGAATTATTCTTAACTCTATACTTTGCATCCTAGCGCAGGCCAGCTGTAATATTTTTGTGACAAGCTACTATGCCACAGAAAGCCTTGCTGTCCTTTCTGTTATCAATGCTATCAGCTTGACCTAAAGGTAACATTTAATTGAAATGAAAAACTAATTCAAAAGCAGTATTAAATTGCAGTGTTCTCTCAAGTCTTACTGGCATTTGAGAAAAGGTGCTTACTGGCTTGTACAGCACTTTCTGCACATCAAAGAAAGTACAGATATGTATGAACAATCTGAATTACATAGCTACATAGTTTGTCTGTGCAGACAGCCCCTTAATTTAATGATTATTTCAGGTTAAATAATGTATTTTCTGGTGTGCGGGGAAAAAAAAATCTTACCAAACATGATAAAGCAATTCCAGCCATAACTATGTAGACAGTCCATCCAAACTGTTCAGTGATGTATCCATAGATGAAACCAATTATCTGGAGGAAAAAAATAATCAAACTTTAAACAAACAAAACCATTTCCCATGCCGTGATTAAGTTGGGGAGAAGTTAAGTAGAAAAATACAGGGCTTTCACGAGCACAGTCCATACATCTTTCTAACCTTGTCTTCAAAATTGTAGGCCAATAATGAACGTAAAAGATTGAAAGAAGAGAAGTCTTAATCCACAACAGCCCCTCTGAATTTGTCTATAGCTTTTAGTGACCCGGTTAAGCCAAAACATCAGGAAAAAACCCTTGTTTGTAAGATCGGAAAACAAAATAAAATCCTTTAATTATCACCCATAGTTCTAGTATACTTACTGCAGAGACAAGAATGATTCCTTGAAAAATCTGTTCTGCTAATTTTTGGCCCTTGTAGTCCTGTGGAAAGAGATATTTTTTTTTGGTCAGTTACTGGGTACCAGTTAAACTCTTTCAGGTTAGAGCCTAGAGTCAGCCAGACCACAGCTTCTCAGCTGTTTGGTTCAACTTTCAAACTAAACGGGAATTATTTTTCTTACAGTGTCTGGATTTCAAATGTAAAAGAATTCGGCTTTTCATTCACTTAACACCTCCCCTACAGTCTTGACCACATCATCTAAAAATAAAAGCAAGCCGTGTCTGTTCAGGGTAAGTAACGCAAGTTCGAAATATCGTTGTAGTTAGCTTAATATCACTATGTAAAAGCCCTAACACCACAAAAGAGAGCATATGCTTGAGAAGATACGATATGTGTGTCCCTGTGATTCTGGGATCCTGGGGCGGCTCCCCTACCATCTCCGTGGGGATGGAGCGGAAGATGTTCAGCATGGCGGCGGCGAGCAGCGCCTCACAGTCCTCGTCCTGCTCCTCGTCGTAGTCGTCTCTGTCTTCCTCGTCAGGGCCCTGCGGCGGCTCCCGGCTGTCCGCGTCGCCCTGCGAGGCGGGGGCAGCGGGCTGGCTCGGCGGGTACCGGTGCTCA